CCTAGTATGGATTTTGATGACTGATCCGGTCCTCATTTTTATTTCAGGAGTCAGCGTGGATCCGTCCTCGTTCAATTCGCACTCATCTCCCCTGCCTCACGGGTGTGAAATTATAAGCTCCGAGGACTCCCTCGTTCACATTTTACAAGACTCCAGGTTATTAGCCAAACAAGGCGTTCATACACTTCCCCGGTGCCACAGTTTTCACAGTCAAGGATTTGGACCTTTATTCTCGATCACCCCCTGTTTTTTCACCTCTCTACCCTCCTCATTTATGTCCGTCTCTCTCGAAGGGCTCACGGACGAGGTGTTACAACAGCCTGATGTGAAATAGGGTTTGACTTGAGTGAAAAATCAGGCTGAGATCATGCCCCCCCCCTCTGTCCGCTCTCTCCTGCCTCGCACCTTTCATATGCGCTTTCATTCAGATCTCTGTCTTTTTTCCAGAACAAGGCAAAATGGTTTTTGCCACATCCATTTGTTCTCGAAAGAGGAGACAAATTACAAATGTGCTCACGAGCCTTTGTACTTGAAATGCCTTTTTTATACGCGGAGAGGAAACTGATGAAAAGCGTCGAGCACATCAAAGTGGTTCGACGGCGGGCCGATTGAAAGGTTTAGAAAGTTTCGCCCTATCGCAGGTCGCCCCACTCTTTCTAGTCCGATTTTAGTTACGGGCTCATTTGAATTAAGCTCGCCCGTCAATTAGCATGACTTTTACCCCGGCTCGCTGGACTTCAAGGGCGCGCAACTTTCCTAGCGCTGCGTGTTGTGTGAAAGCCTGGCATGCTGTTTCCTTCCTTTTACCAGCAGCTCGTAGGAAATGGTTAATGGCCTGCGTTTGGCAGGATGGAGGGGGGGAATGGAGAGGTATTTTACGGGGAGCAAAAAAGGGGGGATGTGTGTGTGTGTGTGTGTTTGAGGGGGTAACAATGAGGAGGGCAGTATAGGTGACAGGTGAGTCAATCAAAATTAAAACATATGCTGCCCTACCCAAGACCAGATGCTCTGTGTTTTAGACAAAGACAGAGTGAGGTTGTGCATTAGTGTGTGTGTGTGAGAATAGGACAGAGAGTTTTTGTTTCTCAACTAGCTGTAAGGGGGCTGGTTTTGTGGCAGGGAAGGCGGTATATAGAATTAAAACTCGTAAAAACATCGACTGCAGCCTCTGAATCACAGTTCCTTCATGACGGAAGGCTGAATGTATATTGCTTTTCTTCGTTTACTACCGTTGGGTTTGACAAATGTTGACTTTTTATTATCATCATTTCTGTACACTATAAGATTAAACGGTAACACTTTACAATAAGGTTCATTAGTTAACATAAGAATGAACAATACTTCTTCAGTATTTATTAATCTTAGTTAATATTAATTCCAACATTTACTAATACGTTATTAAAAATCAAAGGCTGTATTAGTTAACACACAGTGAACTAACATGAACACACAATGAACTGTATTTATATTAACTAACATTAACAAACACTCTAACTAATGCATTGCTCATCGTTAGTTCATGTTAGTTAATGCATTTATTAATGTTAACTAATTAACCTTATTGTAAAGTGTTACCGATTAAACTTTAAATATTGGTTAAACTAGACAATCTCTCATCAAAATAATTGAGTATATACAACAATTCTGTGAATTCTCTTGTTTTAGAGTGTTTTATACGAGGTAGGGCTGTATTGATATTTTATGGTTAAACCTTTTTAGTATTACATTATTTTGCTATTAAAAGCTGCTAAACAAGATTCTAACTCAATCTGTGCTGTCTGCTTTTGGTAATCTCACCTAAAACTGTAGGTGCGCTTGAAATGGGTGTTGCATTCATATGCAACACACAGGTGAATGTTGACTAATAGATGGTATAAATTAAAATTGTGAATTTAATACAAATATTTGGGATGAATCATTGATTAAAAAGAAAAAGTGCATGCCATAATATCCCATATTTCTGTTGCTAAAGCTTAATGCTCAAAGCCTAGCGTTAGTTAATGCCACACCTGTGCATTTATTTTCTCTGTTGTTTCCTTCAGGAAATGCAAATTTAGTTGAAAGCAAGTGTATAGCATTTTTCATTACACAAGTAACCATTTGAAGAATATAAACAAACTATATTTTTGCAATTGCTATCTACTTTTCTGTGTGTCTGATTTAAAATGAAGGTAAACGCAAGTAAGAGAAGTGATGTATGCCAATAAGCTAATTAAATGTTTGAGGGGACCACGAGAAGACGAGTCGAGGGCTGAGCAGCTGAGATGATGAAGAGTGTGAGAGTTAAACTGAAAGAACTAAAAGAAAGAAAGGAGACAGAGGGGATTAAGCTGTGAGAGAAAGAAAAGGGAGGGAGAGAGAGAAAAAGTGTCTATTCGTGTGTGTGTGTGTGTGTGAGAGAGAGAGATGTGGTGCACACTGGGAGTTAAGGTCCAACTCGACGACTAAGCTCCTCAGGGGGACTTTGGGCAATATCCTGTTAGAGTGGAATGCAAATCTGTGCGATTGTGACCAGGGGCCTGGCACCACAGTTCACACACACACGCCTGCCTACCTTTCTCACTGTCCTCCTTATCCCATCAAAAGCCCTTTTTTACCTGTCAGGTTTTTTTTCTCTTACAAACATTTATAGAAACTGGCATGTTCAGAACAGGTACTTCCACACACAAAAAAAAAAAAAAGGTTGCACCAAGCCACCTGATGTAGCACAGTTTAGTGAGGCCCAAGGGGGGCGCCCGTGGCAAGACTGACCTGAATAGTCTTACAAACAAAAAACTACCGTCAGGATCTTTAGAGCATCTGCAGGAAAAAGGGCCATGCCTTGCTCTTAAAGGGATAGTTCACCCAAAAATGCTGTCATCGTTCACTCGCCCTCAAGTCGTTCCAAACCTGTAAGACTTTCTTCTTCTATTTTGAGGAATATGGGTAACCAACAGTTGTTGGATCCCATTGACTTCCATTTATGGGGGGAAAAATACAGAAGTCATCAGAGCCTGTCAACCAACGCATTCTCGTCCCAAGCCGTCATATAGTGACTCTTTTCCCAATGTGTAATATGAAGAGTTCAGATGCAAAAGCCTCTAAGTGCCATTTGAAATTTTCTTCTAAAACAACCCGGTCTCATCCCAAGACGTCATATAACTGACGTTTTGGGACGTCTTTTGACCATACGTCAATATTCGCCTTTTTAGGGCCCTCTTAAACGTCGGTAGATGAGGTTATGGGATCCTAAACCTAACCCTAAACCTAACCCGTCACCTAACTGACGTTAAAGGTAAAGCGTCAGTTGTATGACGGCCCGGGATCGCCATCCACCGACGTTTAAGGGGGCCCTAAAAAGGCGGATATTGACGTATGGTCAAAATACGCCCCAAGACGTCAGTTATATGACTTTTTGGGATGAGACTGTGTTATCTAAAATGACCATTTTTATCAAGCTTGTATTTTTAAGTTCAGTAATTTCACTTAAATGACAATTAATAGTTAATCTTTATTGCCATTTAAGTGAAATTACTGAACTTAAATATATAAGCTTGATAAAAATGATCATTTTAGAAGAAAATTTCAAATGGCATTTGAGGCTTTTGCATCTGAACTCTTCAATATACTTCCAATGCTCATGACACCCTTTAGCATCAATATAACACGCTTTGGTTATGATAGGTTTAGGTCTGGGGTAGTGTTAGGGTTAGACCACTAGGAGGCGCCTTCTGCCCCATATATATCTGCATCTCATATTGACGCCATGTGTGTTGGATGTCTACACATTCGCAAAAGCGTCAGTATATGACGTCTTGGGATGAGAACGGTGTCAACTGACTGCAGAACCGACGTTCTTCAAAATATCTTTAAACAAATATGTGTCGTGTTCTTATCCATAATTTGTTCCTAACCCAAGCACATGATAAGCTCTAAAAAAGTGTATAAAATGGTGTTTTGACCAACGAGACACGGCGCTAAAACTTAAAACTACTTACCTCAAGCTCCATTCATTGGCATTGACAAGTTGGCCTCTTTTCTCTCGCCATGACCATATTCTCGTCTTTTTTTTCAACGCACATTAGAAGCCGAATTCCCAAAGTGCGATTCATCTTTCTCTATTTGTTTACCACTAGCACATGTTGACATTTGATTCTTCTATACACTCTAAACTGTTCTGGATTGTTTTAACCCATAATTGGGTAAAATATGGACAAACCCAAATGTTGGGTTAAAAATCCCATTTAAAATTTTACTTTCAACGGTACATTTTTTAATTACATTTTACCACATTTGACCCAAATTTGGGTTGAAAAAACCCAGCATTTTTTTTAGAGTTTATTAACTTGCGTCGTAGCCTACGAATCAATAGGTATCATCATCTTAGTTACAGTCTACATACCCAAGTTTATTAGACCCATGTTGTACAGTGTGATGATCCAACACATTCTCATCCTAGGGCGTCATATAGTGACGCTTTTGCCAATGCGTATACATCCAACACACATGGCACTCTTTAGCGTCTATATAACACGCTTCGGTTATAGGTTTAGGTCTGGGGTAGTGTTAGGGTTAGACCACTAGGAGGCGCCTTCTGGAGCCATCATGTGTATTGGATGTGTCAGTATATGACGCCTTATGATCTTATACACTCTAAACAATGCTGGGTTGTTTGAACCCAAATTTGGGTAAAATATGGACAAACCCAAATGTTGTGTTAAAAATGTAATTTCAAATTTTCTCAAACTTTCACTTTCAACTGTACATTGTTTTAATTGCATTTTTAACCCAACATTTGGGTTTGTCCATATTTGACCTAAATTTTGTTTGAAACAACCCAGCATTTTTTTAGAGTGAATCACAGTCTGTAGTAGGCATGAAGAATATAAACCAACTCAAAAATAATTACAAATAAATGTAACATATACAAATTAAAAAGAAAACTGAAATGTAAGGCTTTTTTTGTTTGTTTTTTGCACTGAAACTCTTTCAGATTTCATGTTCAGACCTTTTTTTATTGTCTTTTAGCAGCTTGACAGCCCTCGATCACTCTTTGTTGCGTGGAAAAGAGCAGCATGAACATCCTTCAGAAATGCGTTGGACCAGCATGAGGGTAAGTGAAAGATTTCTGGCCGAACTAAGTCTTATTTTAATGGCATTTCTGTTGTCTTATTTCTCACATTCTGTCATGTTAGTGCAATTAAGGAAAGCCGTTAAAGCTCAGATCTGCTGCGTGGTTTGTGGCTTTTCACTCTGGAGGTGTTTGGCGAGGTCCGTTCCAGACTGGAGTCTGTTTGAGGTAACGGATAAAAAGCCGAGACACTTTCATCTGTGGTTGATATTGTTCAGTCATCTTAGTCATGCTTTCCTCTCCCACGTCTTCATGAGTCACGTCGGCTCTTTTTTAGGTCGCCCTCTTATTTAAATGACCACCAGGAAGAAGTGGGAACCCGGTGGTTTACAAACTGACGTTCATGCACAGGAAACGTTGATGTTTTTTATTAGAAAATACCAAAGGAACCGTCTGGGACGCTCTTCAGAAGAGTTGAGAGGCTCCGTTTCAAAGGGCCTCTCTCCGCTGGCAAACTCTGATAGGAACTGATCTCAAGTGCATGTTGGGAAACATGTTTGAGTCTAATGGGTTAATTAGCACCGAGTGTTGCTCTGTCTTCTGAGATTTAGCCTGTCATTGCAGCCAATGTCTTAACATGACTGTTTAAGGGGGCTGAGCTCTGCTTTAGAGGAATATTCTGGGTTAAATACTTCAGCATCTGAGATGTGCTGTTGATTGACATAAGACACTCCTAACACATTTGGAGAACTTAAAAGAGAATCAGTGGCAAAAACTTCTTTTTGTATTTTTGTCTTGTTTTTCATTAAAAATATCTACACATTAAGATACATTTACAGTACTTGGGAAGTACTTTAAGCACTTTAAAAAAAACTTTTGCTGATAATTTACTCGCCCCCATGTCATCCAAGATGTCCATGTCTTTCTTTCTTCAGTCGAAAAGAAATTAAGGTTTTTGATGAAAATATTCCAGGATTTTCCTCCATATAATGGACTTCAATGGGGTCCAAACGGTTAAAGGTCCAAATGAGAGTTTCAGTGCAGCTTCAAAGGGCTTTAAACGACACCAGACGATGAATAAGGGTCTTATCTAGCGAAACGAGCATTAGCAATGCGCTCTGCGATGCGCATTCGTGACTCTCCTGTTTGAACTCGATCATCAAAATGAACAAATCTTTTTTCGAGTCATTTGGTTGATTCAATGAATGAAATAAACTAAACGACTTGAAAAAAAGATCCGTTCATTTTGATGATCAAGTTCAAGCAGGAGAGTCACAAACGCGCGTCACAGAACAGAGCAAGGTGAGCATTTGAGCTTATAAAACGTAAACTTTTTTATTTATTTTTTAAATGAACGTTTAAAGCCCTTTGAAGCTGCACTGAAACTCTCATTTGGACCTTGAACCGTTTGGTCCCCATTGAAGTCCATTATATGGAGAAAATCCTGGAATGTTTTCATCAAAAACCTTAATTTGTTTTCGACTGAAGAAAGAAAGACATGGACATCTTGGATGACATGGGGGTGAGTAAATTATCAGCAAAAGTTTTTTTTTTTAAAAAGTGAACACAGAATATTGCTTAAATGTTAACTCCCGATTAGTAGCAAGATTTCTTTCAACGGGATGTTTTCTTTACTTTTCCACTCTGTTTTGCATTTGTTTTTAAATTAGTGCTTGTCATGCTGCGGTTAATTGGATTGAGCCGCAGAATCCCAGATTTGGAGCTGTACTCCAAACAGAAGCACTCTTCAGTGTTGACTTGGTAATTCGGTCCAGCTCTGTATGGTTTTGTATGGTCTCTGTTGCAAAACAGCAGCAGCACTCCAGGCCCTCAGCCCCTGAAAGGAAGCCCAGGGCCATGCTGGTTAGTGCAAACTCCCCGAGGATCAGAGCAGGAAGAAAACAAGCCGAGAGAACATCCTCTGGTGTGATTGACACGGCGCTAGCTTGTCAGCTCCAGTCTGCTTGTGTCTAAAGAGATGGCTTAGGAAAATCAGTTGAATGAAAACACACCATGCGCAGTGTTTTGTGAGTGACTTCTATGGTGCGGCTCTGCAAATGTGTCGTGTTTACTTAGTATTAGTTTTCCATTGGAAATATCTAAAAAAAATTCTTAAATCAAGGTACATTTACTTCAGGGTTTCTGCGGGTCTCCTACTCAAAGTAAGGCCTTAAAAAGTTCTTAAATCAGAGCAGAAAGTCTTAAATGCTTGAAATGTTGCATGCATTGCAAAAAAAATGTAATAAATCCTTTTTTGTTCTGTTTTCCAAAAAAAAAAATGTTAGTTTTTTGTTGTTGTTGTAGTTTTACAGACATTACATTTAGAGACCATATTTGACAAGTTGTGTTCCCTTCAATTTCTTGGTCTTAAAAAGGTCTTTTTATTAAAGTTTATCCTGTACTTGAGAAGCAAAATCACTTAAAAATCAACAAAAAACATTTTTCTTAAAACAAAATATCTTTAAGTGGGGTAAAAAAAAAAAAAATCAAACTTAATACATTATTTTTTCTGGCCTCAATGGCAGATTTTTGTCTTGTTTCAAGCATAAACGCACTTCATTTTGATATTTTTTCACTAAACATTTAATATCTTAAAGTCCCCCTGTGGTGAAAATCCAGTTTTTAATGTTGTTTATGTGTCTATGTGGTGTTTTTAATATGCTTTAAGACAAAGCATGTGTAAATTCATAAGTCGACAGCATTGCTTAGTATTTTCTGCTTAAACAGAAGACAGTATCAAAAGCACGCTTTGAAATCGCTGGTGTTTCTGACGTCACAAACGATCTTTTAACCAATCGGGTGCGTTTCCCGTACAACGACGTAGTTCACTGCTTCACTACCATAGTACGATGCATCGTTGGAGAAATCAACTAGCTAGTCACGACTGTTTCCCGAAACCCACTGTCGCAAAGTATCGTCTCTGCAACCACGTTGGTTTCGCACGTGGTGAGTAATAACTATTTTTAATGAAACTGTTTGAGATCCAATTAACGCTAGATTTCTTTAAATATAAATTACAGACATGTTATCTGAGGACTGTGTCTAATTGTTCTCAGTTATTTTGCTTTATTACCAGACTCAATATTTGGCTCGTTCTTACATAGTAGAGCAGGTTCGCACATGCGCACTCTTCAAACACGGTACGTTCAATCTTTTGAAAAACTGAAAGACGTAAATTACATTTGTATGTATTGTATATGTTGTACTGAATGTCAGCTTGCTTATTTTGCTCAAGATAAGGATTTATTACGTCCAAATGTGATGCAATATAGAAACGATGCCTCCACACAACTTTGCGATGCTGTTTGCGAATGTGCGTTGGATCGATGGTTTCGGGAAACACCGACTCGTTGAACTACGCTGATAACGACGAAACTTGCGACCATAGTTGGCTAACGATGCTTTCGGGAAACGCACCCCAGATCAACATGTGATCGTCAACCAGTGGATCTCTGAGCTGAGTGAGTGAGTGAAAGCGGGGCTCATTTGCATATTCATACAACCGCATATAATAAATGAGACAAGGGTGTCGAGTTACATTCAAGATATTTTAAGGTGTGTAAAAAAAATTTCATTTTGGTGAGTTTTAAGGGATACAATTATTGACCACAGGGGTACATTAAGTAATTTTGCATTAAGTTAATACATCTTGATTTTTTTAGATATTACAAGATAAAAATACTGAGTAAAAAACATTTTTGCGTTGGCCAGCTGCAAATTTCGGTTTTCATAATGACAAGAAAGAACCCTTTTGTCATAAAGGTTCTTTATAGGCTATTATTCATTCATATATTACATTATTCTGCAACATTTTGTAGTTGTAATTAAATTATTTTTCATTAAACTGCTGTAGTAATGTAGTAGTTTTTAATCATGCTGATTTTTGGAGGAGAAAAACTGAAATGGCACTCTTCGTGTGATATTAACTACATAAAATTATATAAATATATACATTTTCTAACCCCCATATCTTTTTTTTTATTGAATTTTCAAATAATACAAATATAAAAAGACATCACCCCCCCAAAAAAAAAATAATAATAAAATAAAAAAAATAAAAAAAATAATAATAATAAAATAAATAAATAAAATAAAATAACCCCCATATCTTGAATTTTGTGATCATTCACATGCATTCATAAACACATTTTAGGGTTTAGATGTTTGTCAAATATTTAATCCTGAAAGGACAAAATAAATGATAATGAATGAACCCAAAAGGTTCCATATAGAACCTTTTTCCTGGTTTAGGGTTCTTATTATTGAAGCCTTTAAAAGGCTTCTAGAACCATTTAGGGGTTCGCTGATAAAACCTTTTAAGGTTCTATATAGAACCTTTTCTTCTAAGAGTGTTCTTTGAAACTCGAGCTTCTGTCACCCTCCCTTCTTCTTCCTACAGTTTCCACACAGTTCAGAGACGCCAACGGACGACGCTCCCTGTGTACATGTGTTGCTTGGAAACCAGCGCACTGGGACCGTGTAGTGCAACACACAGAGGCACTGGATGCAGTACGTACAGAAAAACACGCTCAAAGCCCACGTGTGGACAGCAGCCTCCAGACGGCCAGGAACATTTCCCACAGACTTTAAAAGTGTAGTCAGTAATCTTTACAGTGCTGGATTTTAACCAGCTGCTTTAACACCATGTCTGCAGTATTATAAGTAAATTAATTATGTACACGTAAGAATGTAAAGTGATGATTAGCATGAATTAAAGTCAATAATTGCAATGAATAAAAAACGCTCACCCTATAAATGAGTGCATTTTGGGAAGACACGGCACAGATTGAAATTAAGTTTATAATTGAGTTATAGGAGATCTGATTCATATTAAGATTTGGACTATTCATGTCAAATGTTTTATTTTCCAGCACAAATATCTTAATATTTTTGAATCAAGATGCATTGACTTGAGAATATAATTAAGGGTTGTTTTATGAAAAACTGAAGTTTGTGCTTAAAACAAGAACAAATATATGCCAGTGTCATCAGAAAAAACAACTCTTGCTTTCCTGTTGACTCCATTGGCCGATATTTGTTCTTGTGTTAAGCTTAAACTCAATTCATAAAAAAAATAAATAAATAAAAATTCAGAAAACAAGACTATATGCCAGAATATCTTCAGGCATTTTGCTTCTTATTAAATGTATCTTGATTTAAGAATCTTTAGATATTTACACTGGAAAATAAGACAAAAATACTAATATATATATATATATATATATAATATATAATGCAGTGCGGCATTTAAATGTAGTTTTTTTTAAAATATGTCGGTATATATTTCTTGATTATTTCATTAATTAGAAATGTAAATGAAATTTTCTTAGTTCATCCGTGAGTTTCATGCTCTCAGATAAGATGTATTCTTGTCAACATGTTTACCTTCCAGATTACCTAGTTGAGTGTCTTATGAGTGCTTTGCAAATCAATTGAACTGAATCATTTAAAAGAACCAGCTCAAAAGGAGGATTCGTTCACAAATCTGACATCAAAGTTTGACCTTCCTGTAGAATGTGTTGTATATCTGTAAGAAAGGACACTGAAACAAAGTTCTGTGTGCTTCAGGTTCATCTCATTGAAGGATCAGGGATGTCATCTGGTTGTCTCAATTTGTGTAGTTTGGACTTTGGTTGGCTTCACCCCCTCCAGCTCAAAGGATAAAGCCGGATCAAGAACACATCCCTTCTAGTATCCATGGACTTGTAGAAAAAGCAGGTATACAGGACTTCCTTCCCTCTTGGAGTCCAGTGTGTGTGTGTATATGTATATATATATATAGGCGATATGGTTAGACGAGCTAACCATCAAAAACTAGAATATCGTTTATAGCTACAGATTGATAATTCGCTACTCTACTATCATTACTTGATTCATGAAGGTAAACGGAGGATAAGATAGCTTACATAACATAGTCAGGCAGACAAAAAAACCCCAAAAAACCAAAGAGATAGTATGTATAATCGTATAATATAATAGATAGTGTAATACACTTACTAATAGTCCAAAAGCATGACAGCCGAGTCCGCATCAGTCGGTCCCCCTCCTCCTGCTCACGCCAGCGAGAAAACGCTGGCCCAAAGTTGATCCTCGTTCTGCCTTTAACGTGATCACTTTCTCTTTTTCTCTGTTTGCTTTGCTCGGATAAAACCTTTGCTTTCTTGTTTTTCTGTGCTGCTTCGGCCATGACTATAACATTTGGCTCGCACGTCCGATTTTAAGGAAGTTGGGGTGGTGGTGGAAGTGACGTATATGCTGTAAAGCAGTCGAATTTTGTAGTTCTCTTTGTTCGCCGGTTACTACCCGAAACCCGAAGTTTAAAAGTACGATTAAAAACGCTACAGACCCCTTCAGGCTATGGCAGACGTGTCTTTCAAGCTATTGTAAGTCGATGTACCATCACAAGAGACTTGGAAATATATTATGAAGGTTGATAAGCTTTAATGAGTAACTAGAAGACAGCGGTAAGACTTTATTTGAAGGGGTGTGCATAAGACTGACATGACACTGTCATAAACATGACATAACACCTGTCATGAACATGAAGGAGTCTTTATGAAAGTTTATGACTGTTGTCATTAAGTGTCATTCGGTAATGTAAAGTTGACATTGTTTAAGATGTCTTTGTTATGACAACTTGATCATAACCTGTCACAAATATGTCATAACAGGTCTAATTATCAAACTTAAAGAAGTTATTTAGCTTTGATTTAACATTACATTATCCTGTCATATGTGGTTGGTTTTGACTTTGGCCATCATGACACCATTATAACTGTGACATGAATATTTTACTTGTCCTCAAGTAAAGTGGAACACATTATACTAGTTATAAAGATGTCATTGAGGGTTATTACACTGTCAAATGTTTTAACAACAGTGTCATTAATATTTCCCCTTACCTCAAGTAAAGTGGAACACGTTGGACTAGTTATTAAGATGTCAGGTTGACAGGTTATGATTTCTTGGTTAATGTCAAGTTGTCATAACAAAGACATTTTAAACAATGTCAACTTTGCATTAAAAGTGTCAATATACCGAATGACACTTAATGACAACAGTCATAAACATTCATAAAGATTTCTTTATGTTCATGACAGGTGTTATGTCATGACAGTGTCAGGTCAGTCTTATCCACACCCCTTCAAATAAAGTGTTACCAAGACAGCTTGGCGAGTGAGTGTGTGCAGTTTACGTTGTAGAACAAAATGTCAAAGTATAGCCAAGTTATGTTTACCGCTTTATTTCATTTCATTCATTTATATAGCACAAGTAAACACAACAGAAGTTGACCACTGTGCTTCACATAACAGAACTCCAACAATTATTTAAGAAAAACAACAACAAAAAAAACGAAATATCGATCAGACTGCAAAAGAAAACCTAAAATAAATTAATTTTCACTTTAAACTCATATAAAGAGGATAGCGATACAAGGAGACAGGGAGGCTATTGCACAACCTAGGACCGACAACAGCAAAAGCACAAATTTTTCTCTTATAAGAAATGTATGTATTATAAAACTCCGTAGGAAAACCAGTGGCGAATTAGACTTCTTGGATTTGACATCATACCTGCAATTTACTAATCTATTTCTGCTATAAAAAAAAACAAAAAAAAAAACAAACAAACTTTTTGTGCTATGGAAGGATTCTTCGATGCCAATCATAGACATATACACTAGACGTCACCTTGGCTACGGCAGTTCATTGGAACGAATGCGTCAATAGAGCCGCCATCTTGAAACAGGGGAGCCCCTCCACTTTAATGCATCAGTGTCAATGTAGTAGACACAGGTCTAACGGAAATAAAATCACAATAAATCATCATGAATGCGATTTTTCTTGTTTTTTTGGTTTGTTCTAACAGTCAGACATGTATTTATCATTGATTCCAGAAAGAAACTTTTTTTTTTTTTTTTTTTTCAAAAACATTCTTCCTAGTTCAGATTTCATCCGTGAACATCATACACTGCACAAAAGTCCGCCACCATCAATGAATTCGACGTAAAGGCAGAGATAGCAGCAATACCTAGCTACTTCCTATGACAAGACCCCTGTTCAAAGATGGCGGCGGTTTTGACGCATGCTTAGAGCCCCAAGGTGATGTCTAGTGTATATCTATGGATGCCAATAAGGAACCTTTATATCTATGACGTGCTTGACAGAACCGTTGAAGGTTCTATTATAGAATCTGTTCTTCTAAGAGTATAGAGTGTGTTTGCTATTGTTGACTCGTGTGTGTGTGTGTGTGTGTGTGTGCTATAGTATCATGGCTTTCCATTAACCAAAAGCAGAAAGATCCTCCAGCAGAGAGAAAATAGTACTCAAAGACCTTTTTCTTTCAGCAACCCACTAATTTGTGTCTATTTTTCATATATCCAAGTTATTTTATTGCGACTATGTAACTGTGCTTTTTGTAATTTCTAAGACAACGTCCATAGCTAAATCTCCACTTAGGGCAGGTTCTTGCTCCTTCTTTTAATGGAAGGATGTTCTGTAATCAGACTCACGGAGACGTTTCCCTAATGATGTTTACTTCAAACGGGTTCGAGTGGCTCCGAAATGACTCATAATGATCCTTGGCAGTAAGTTATATTATAGAGGAAATTGAGATTTAAAGAGCCATTTCAGAGAATGGGCTTTCTGTATTAATCACTGACATTGTTAAAGCATAGCTTCCAGTGAAATGAGCTGTCAGTCCTCTACTCCTGAACACTAATGGCGAAACGTGGATGCTGCCGTATGAAGTGTTCAAAGTGTGTGATTCTAAAGAGCTGTTTCCATCATTTACCTTCTCTCATTAAGAGAGTTTAATATGTTTTTGTTTCTTTCGTTTATATTTAGGTTTTTTTTGGTCTTGGAGAGTCGTGGGAGGATACATTGAAAGTTTTAAAGAAAAGAAATTTGAGGAAGCTTGTTATGCATGAAAACTTAATGTACATGTCAGAATTGCTGGATAATATCATTTTATTTCTGCACTCTAAAAAATTATGGGTTCTTTCAACCCAAATTTGGGTCAAAAATGGACTTAAACTCTCAAATGTTGGGTCAAATATGGACAAACCCAAATGTTGGGTCAAATATGGACAAACCCAAATGTTGGGTTAAAATGTCATTAAATGTACAGTTGAAATTAAGTGAAAGTTGTGTTAAAATTTTAAATGACATTTTAACCCAACATTTGGGTTTGTCCATATTTTGGGTTAAAACAACCCAGCATTGTTTAGAGTGTGGTTGTAACATAATCTGTGATTTTGTGGGGCACTGATTTCATAACTACACATTAGTCACTATGATAGAAATGTCCACAGGCAAATTTAATTTTTATCCCACTTCAAACTTGTCTTAAGCAGAACGCTCATTTAAACGAGTACCTGCATTAACTGAAGCTTACATGTGCTTCCCATTATGCATGGCAAAACAATTACATTAGTAGAATTTGTTGTAAAAATGTAAAAATCCTTGAAACAACAGTTATTTTTTTCTTTTGCATGCAGCAACACTGAATAAAATATTAAGAGTTGCTTTCATAGTTTGGATATAAGAGTGTTTTTGATGAATTGCTTTTGTTCCTCCTCTTGTGTAAGTCTGCTGCATAAATGTAAATGTATTTTGTCCAGCTGTTTTGAAGCTGTTCCCCTTGTTTTAAGTATAAACAAGTTCAACAACAAGTGAGATAAAAAAAAGGCCAAATACACTTATATAAATACAAGATGCACTCTGTGAAAACAAGTCTTAATATTTTATAGTGTCGCTTGTCTTAAAGATTTTTATGTATTTTAAATGGAAAACTAAACAAATATATATATTTTTTTCAAGTGTGCATATCTTGCTAAATGTAAAACCTCTATGTGATTTTATTGAATTATTGCTCAAATGTTTTCCAATGCATTTTTGTCCCGTCCGATTCTGATCAGATCAAATGGACCGATGTTGATGGTTAACTTTTAAGGAATAATAATTATTACTCAATTCTAATTTGTTCAATTTAATTAATAATACTGTTTTTAATTGATTAGATAAAGCATATGAAGAGTTCAGATGCAAAAGCCTCTAAATGCCATGTGAAATTTTCTTCTTTAATGATGATTTTTATCAAACTTGTATATTTAAGTTAAGTAATTTCACTTAAATAACAATTAATAGGTAATTATCATTGCCATTTAAGTGAAATCACTGAACTTAAATATACAAGCTTGATAAAAATCATCATTAAAGAAGAAAATTTCAAATGGCACTTAGAGGCTTTTGCATCTGAACTCTTCATATTCATTTTTACAGTGTAGTTTTTCTGTCTTCCCGCCATTGACTCAAACGTGTTTCTAAATGTGTGCCTCGTTTCTTGTTTCGTTTCCCATCACAGAACTGATGACCAGGCGCCCCAATCCAGGATTAACACAGCGGACGCTTTTCTCAGTGGAATGACTGGTTAAACCCTATGAAATCAGGCAATGAGATTACAGGGCTTGACTTTCCCAAAAGCGCTTACACAGTCTGCTTTAGATTCCCATCTCCATCCCTTTGTCACCGGTGGCCTCGACTCACTGTGAAACAGTGGTTTAACATAGAACATGTGTCCTTGTGTTGACAACTGCACTTGACGGAGGCGGAGGCTTGTGAGAACGCGAATGTGAGACGGGGGAATTGAAGTCTCGCAGATCTGTCTCCAGATCTGTCACAAAACCAGGGGCTTTGTTTGGGATTTGGATCTGCTGTTCAGAGATCAGTGCTTGGCAAGGAGAGTCTGTCGCGCTCGTCAGCTGTTGATTATTGACAGTGTCTCGAGGTGTCATCCAAATGAGAGACATCTGTGTAGAGGAGACAAGGGGTTTGATGCACGTTGACGTGCATGAATATTAATGCGACATGGACATAAACAATGATGATATGGGTGAGAGAGAATCATCATGCAGTTTGTCCACTCAGTATAGTGAATTCGGGGGGAAAGCCTTGCTCTTGACACGATCTGTTTAGCTCATCTCTGGTTTTGGCGTGACCACAGAAGACTGTTCAGCCTTGGCTCGTCTCTCTGTGGAAACTTTGCCAGCGGTGTATCACTTGCTTGGTAGTTTTGTCTTGGTCTCCATTGAAAATAACAATAGATTCTTAATTCAAGATGCATTCACTTGTCTTGCTTCCTAATCTAGAACGACTGTTGTTGGCGATTTTGCTTTGGATGAATGCAAAAATCTTAAATGGCCTTTTGAGTTTTAGCTGTACTGTGTGTAAAGCTTGGGATGTCCTCATTATGGTTTCAGGGCATGTTTTTGACTTTCCCGAAAAAGACTCATGTCCCATAATTCCAAGGGTTTTCCTTTGTGTGTTAGTCCCAAATAAATGTCGAAGTCTCTCGGTTCGTATGACATCCAGGAGACCATTAAATGTCCTGAATTGAAATGCAGCTGAGGCAACGTGTGTCATGTAGAGTTCAGATCTGCTGAAGCCGACTGTTAGAGCCACTCGGATTAGTTATTCAGAGGATGGAATAAAATTACTCAGTCACTTTAGTCCATATTATTTAGTCCAGCATTCCTGTAGCTCAAACAGTAAAGCATGCCGCTAGGAATGCTAAGGCCATGGGTTTGAGAATGCATGAACTAATCAAATTGAATGCAATGTAAGTCGCTTCTATCAAATGCATAAATATAAATATAATATTTTGAGTTAAATGCACTGCTGTTTGTCTACCAGTGATGAGATGTTGAAAACATAACTGCGTTTAGTGAACATTTTGTGAACTTGACGATAATCAACAGTTTCAGGTTTTTTCCTTTTCCCCCCTACAGATCGATAGATTCATTCATAATCAATTAAAGGATTAGTTCACTTTTGAAAAAACTTTTGCTGATAATTTACTCACCCCCATGTCATCCAAGATGTCCATGTCTTTCTTTCCTCAGTCGAAAAGAAATTTAGGTTTTTGATGAAAACATTCCAGGATTTTTCTCCATATAATGGACTTCAATGGGAACCGGATGGTTCAAGTATCAAAAGACGGTTAATAACTGTTTCAGATGCAGCTTCAAATGTCTTTAAACGATATCAGACGATGAATAAGGGTCTTATCATGCGAAACGATCGGTTATTTCAAAACTTATTCCAAAAATGTAACTTTTCTAAGGACAAACGCTAGCCTTGCTCTATTCTGTGAGGAGCGTTTGTAACGTCACGTATTACGTAATTACGTTCAAAAGGTCACGGGCGACGTAGCCGGAAGTACAGAATCAAAATCGTCCGACATCGTTGTTTTACCTTTTAATTCCTTTTTTTGTAAACGGTGTTTGAGTTAGTTTGCACGTTCAACCTATGCGTTCAACTTGTAAACACTGACTCTGTACTTTCGGCTACGTCGCCCGTGACCTTTTGAACGTAATTACGTAATACGTGACGTTGCAAACGCTCCTCACAGAATAGAGCAAGGCTGGCGTTTGTCCTTAGAAAAGTTACATTTTTGGAATAAGTTTTGAAATAACCGATCGTTTCGCATGATAAGACCCTTATTCATCGTCTGATATCGTTTAAAGACATTTGAAGCTGCATCTGAAACAGTTATTAACCGTCTTTTGATACTTGAACCATCCGGTTCCCATTGAAGTCCATTATATGGAGAAAAATCCTGGAATGTTTTCATCAAAAACCTAAATTTCTTTTCGACTGAGGAAAGAAAGACATGGACATCTTGGATGACATGGGGGTGAGTAAATTATCAGCAAAAGTTTTTTCAAAAGTGAACTAATCCTTTAAGACTTACACGGTCAAGAAAATTATGAAGATTACTTAATGTTTTTTTTATTGTTTTTTTTTAAATCTCTTATTTTCACTTACAAATAGTTTCTTGAGTAGCAAATCAACATATTAGAGTGATTTCTGAAGGATCATGTGACACTGAAGACTGGAATCACAGGAATAAATTACATTTTGGAATATATTCATATAGAAAGTTATTCTAAATAGTAATAAAATATCACTGTTTTTACTGTATTTTTGATCAAATAAATGCAGCCTTGGTGAGCAGAAGAGATTTCTTTCAAAAGCATTAAAATATCCTAATTATTCTAACTTTGAACTTATATTAACTTTTGAACGGTACTGTAGACTTCTTCATATGCAAAACCAGCAAAGTGTGATTTGATTGCATGATGAGGAAATATTTATTTGTTTGCATGGACGACGCATGGACGACACATGCACACATCCCCTCTTATGATTATGCATATTCGCTGGGTCTGTGATGTGATCGTCATAAAGCTGACATCTCTAAACCTTTGCGGGAAGGGCCCAGGGGACCGTTAGATCAGACTTGTGGGGCGAAGCCTCAGAGGAAACGCCACCAACCGCCTGGAATCGCCGTCACTTTCAAGGGATTTGACTGAACAAATGACAGCATATGGTAGATGCAAGGAGAGCTGGGTATTGTTGTGACTGGGGCTCGAGTGTGTTTCTCTCCCACCCCCTCCAAAGTATTTCCTCATTGTGTTGTCACAGACGTACTCCTTCCAGCGCTTTAATTAGCCTTCATGAGTGTCCATGTGCTGGAAGACTTCCACTCTGGAAAACCAGCCTCTTTCACACACGTTTTGGGCCGCTGCACCTCCTTCGGTCATGCCGAAACTAACGTTACAAGCAACGGTAGTTTGAAAGTCAGGCTGATATCTTTTTCTTCGTTGCTGCCAGTGAGGTGAGCTGGTCTGATTCTCCATCCCTGTGATTCTGAAGGGGGAAAAGGGATTTTCTTACTCATCTGTGCTTCCATATCGTGTACAAATATCTAAATATCGAGAGGCTGTGCTGTATCGTGAATCAGTAATGGCGTTGTTAGACACGACGCGAAGCGGAGTAACCCCTTCAGCCGTTACTTACTCACGATACAGCAATTGCCTCGAGTACCTTAGGCTACTGCTTTTATAAAACGGTTAGGACTACAACACCATAAACATAATAAAGTAAAAAAATATGTATTAGTGCAACTTTCATTATGTAAAATAACTAAAAGTCTTCCTTCCGCAAGAGAAAATAGTCCCTGGCCGTGAACAGCAACAACGCTTCAAAGTGTAAACTGCCGTGTTGCGGAGTGATACATAGAACCGTTGGGTGAAGCGGTCATAGCAGCGATCTTTTTCTTGAAGCGAAATGACATCGGAATTTTAGCTTTGTTTTCTGAAACATTCATCAAAAACAAGTGAGTTTGTGCTTGGAACAAGAATAATATTTGCCAGTGGTGTAAAAAATCGTTTATTTTTCTGCCCTTTGGCAGATATTTTCAGCATCATTGCTCAGTCTTCAGTGTTACGTGATCCTTCAGAAATCATTGTAATATGCTTAGATTGATCAAAAGTGACAGTAAAGATTTCTATTTTAAATATGCTTTTCTTTTTAACTATATTCATCAAATAATCTTGAAAATTATGGAGTGTCTATTTACTGGCAGAGGCTATTTATTTACATTAACTCCGCCCACTGACGTCTGATTTGGTCAGACAAAATTACGGAAATTTTTTTTCGAATCTACCTTTTTCCGAACTTGCTCTCCCTTTTCCCATCACATGTCAGATCGGAAAGACATTTATTTTCAATAACAATTGACGAAATATTTGAAATATGGAAAAAAGTGTCTTAAGGTGTGTTTCATAATACCATAGATCATTTCACAAGATGTAAACAAAACTGGTCCAGAAACACTTCCTGTTTCAGTTTGTAACTGTTTTCTTTATTTCACATGTAAAGAAAACATCTTAAAGATGTTTGTTTAACTTTTTGATTCAGTTTTGAATGTTGTATTTTATCCCAGCTTTTATGTAGTGTTAAAAAACTGAAACAGGAAGTGCTTCTGGACCAGTGTTGTTTACATCTTGTGAAATGGTCTATTGGGTAAGGTTAGGTAGGGCTTTATTGTCCCAATAAGGCCGCATCCATTTAAAAATATAAATATAATCATTTACACTGTTATAATTGCATGCCTTTTAAAGTGTACAACAACTTTTTAATATCGACTATCTACTATTTACACTTAACCTATTGCAAAGAAAATACTGCTATTTTTACATGGTGTGAATAGAATCTGTCGCTTTTCGCTCTTAGCATAATCTATTGCTATTTGCTGTTAGTGAAAAAGTCGCTGCCAAAAAAGAAAAGAAAAATATTTAGCATAACAATGAGAACTTATTGATAATTGATTGTACCAAATCAGCATTTGAGACACTCAAAATATCTAATTATTCAGTAAAAAAAAAAGACTTAAAACCTGCAAATATTTGTACTGGAAAAAACAATGCAAAAATAGCAAGTAAGTAAATAATTATTTGCAGTGTAGTCTGTATGGCACAGGCTCCGTCTCCACCTCACTTCCCTTTACAGGGCCCTAATCAGCCAACCAGGCCCAGCTGCCCCTCCCAGCCCCTGCCAGGAGTCGCTATCATCTTCTGATCAAATATTAATGCCACGATACTCTACTTGCTCACTAATCCACAGCCAATTAATATTATCTGTCAATTATTTACTGATCCTGAGGTGTGCAGCCAGGTCCCCGGAGGCTACATCGACCAGGGTTCAGAATGCATAATTGACTTCCTCTCCGAACCCCACCCTCCCCCCGGAGCGCCGTGTGCTCTTTTTATTTTCCCTTCCCCGTCCTCCTTTTTCATCTACTTTCATTTCTTCGCCCTTCTTTTATATTTCTGCTTTCCTTTTTTGTTTATGTGTCTTTTAAGTCTAAATGGCTGTCTTTGTGGTGTTTTAACAGGGTCTGCGCGAGGGGGAGCATTAGCATAGCGAGCGTCGGAGGTGCCCGGAGTGTCAGGAGGAGGGGGAATCTGGCGAATCTCGGCGGATAGAAGTGAACACGCATTATAGAATGTACAATAACATCCGCTGTGTTTCTTCAGGGTGACGTGCCGCTGAAATGTGAGACCTCCGATGATCTGAACACTCTGATGTTAAAAATAGAGGGTGAGTTATGTTTGTAACACACATGTAGCTGAACTCAGCACTCCGTCAGCTGAGAGAGTTGAGGTGGTAATATCTATCTATCTATCTATCTATCTATCTATCTATCTATCTATCTATCTATCTATCTATCTATCTATCTATCTATCTATCTATCTATCTATCTGTCTGTCTGTCTGTCTGTCTGTCTGTATCTATCTCTCTATCCATCTATCATCAATGTCTATCTATCAATCGATCGATCGGTCTGTCTGTCTGTCTGTCTATCTATCTGTCTGTCTATCTGTCTTTATCGATCTATTGCTTTGTTCTATCTATCGATCTATCTATCTGTCTGTCTGTCTGTCTGTATCTATCTCTCTCACTGTCTGTCTATCAATGTCTATCTATCTATCGATCATCAATGTCTATCTATCTATCTATCGATCATCAATGTCTATCTATCGATCGATCTGCCTGTCTGTCTGTCTGTCTGTCTATCTGTCTATCTATCTATCTATCTATCTATCTCACTGTCTATCAATGTCTATCTCTGTCTGTCTGTCTGTCTTTATCGATCTATCTATCTATCTATCTATCTATCTATCTATCTATCTATCTATCTATCTATCTATCTATCTATCTATCTATCTATCTATCTATCTATCTATCTATCTATCTGTCTGTCTATCAATGTCTATCTATCGATCGATCTGTCTGTCTGTCTGTCTGTCTGTCTATCTGTCTTTATCGATCTATTGCTTTGTTCTATATGTCTGTCTATCTATCTATCTATCTATCTATCTATCTATCTATCTATCTATCTATCTATCTATCTATCTATCTATCTATCTATCTATCTATCTATCTATCTATCTATCTATCTCACTGTCTGTCTATCAATGTCTATCTGTCTGTCTGTCTGTCTGTCTGTCTTTATTGATCTATTGCTTTGTTCCATCTATCCATCTATCTATCTATCTATCTATCTATCTATCTATCTATCTATCTATCTATCTATCTATCTATCTATCTATCTATCTATCTATCTATCTATCTATCTATCTATCTATCTATCTATCTATTTATCTATTTATCTATCTATTAGGGGTGTAACGGTACATGTATTCGTATTGAACCGTTTCGGTTCGAGGCTTCCGGTTCGGTACGCATACGAACCGAACGATTGCTTGGACCATTTTTCCTGCCGGCAAAATTCGTGCTGACGCGGCCAACACAACGTTGCGCAACATCCAAATGGCAAGGGTAATGAAAGCAGAACGAAACTGCTCTACTCATTATGTGCTTCACGGATCGTTTATCAGTTCGGACCAGCAACATCTGTGCAGCGCAAACCGGTCTCGATCAAGCAACACTGTTACCACACCGCGCTAAGAGATCCGGTAAAGAAAACATTTGAATTCGGCACTGAGGTAATAACATCGCTGCGAGATCTAGTGAGATACATTTACATTTCTCCGTTATTAACCGTAGATCTCTATTAGATCAAACAGCGCTGTCATGGAAACCAGGAGAAACATTGTGCCGTGAATGAACTAGTACTTTACGTCCACAGACCAGCAACATTCACCATGGATTTAATATAGTAAGACTAACTGTAACCAGTTTGGCTGGAATGGTGTGATTTCAAGTACTTCACACATCTTTTTCCAGCACTTCAAAATTCAAATATTATATAAATAAATATATATTTAAATGTTATTTTTAATGTGATGACCAAAACATTATTTGTTCATCCTTCAAAGATGACCCCTATTTATAAACCTGAAAGTTTCAAGATCTAGGAAAACTCACACTTATTTAAAAATATTTTTTCTTTAAACAAATAGGAAATTTCTCTGCCATTTCTTTCTTTTTGCTGTATCGAAAACGTACCGAACCGTGACTTTAAAACCGAGGTACGTACCGAACCGTGATTTTTGTGTACCGTTACACCCCTACTATCTATCTATCTATCTCACTGTCTGTCTATCAATGTCTATCTGTCTGTCTGTCTGTCTGTCTGTCTTTATTGATCTATTGCTTTGTTCCATCTATCCATCTATCTATCTATCTATCTATCTATCTATCTATCTATCTATCTATCTATCTATCTATCTATCTATCTATCTATCTGTCTGTCTATCAATGTCTATCTATCGATCGATCTGTCTGTCTGTCTGTCTGTCTATCTGTCTTTATCGATCTATTGCTTTGTTCTATATGTCTGTCTGTCTATCTATCTATCTATCTATCTATCTATCTATCTATCTATCTATCTATCTATCTATCTATCTATCTATCTATCTATCTATCTATCTATCTATCTATCTATCTATCTATCTATCTATCTATCTATCTATCTATCTATCTATCTATCTCACTGTCTGTCTATCAATGTCTATCTGTCTGTCTGTCTGTCTGTCTTTATTGATCTATTGCTTTGTTCCATCTATCCATCTATCTATCTATCTATCTATCTATCTATCTATCTATCTATCTATCTATCTATCTATCTATCTATCCATCTATCTATCTATCTATCTATCTATCTATCTATCTATCTATCTATCTATCTATCTATCTATCTATCTATCTATCTATCTATCTATCTATCTATCCATCTATCCATCTATCCATCTATCCATCTATCTATCTATCTATCTATCTACAAAGTATCTATCTATCGTGTAATGAGAAGCTTTCCCTTTACTCACCTAGAACCACAACAAAGAGCACCCCCCTCAAACTCACACATCTCTCTCCATCACACACTCTTTCTTTTATCCCCACTGAAGCATAAACAGCGCTGTGCCTTTGTAAGTTGGCAGACGCTGCATATTTGCGTCGTAAAGCTCAAATCACAAGCTTCTGTTGTCATTTGTGAGGAGTCACATTGGATGTGGACTCATTTGAAGTGTCATTGATATGCTGCGGATTATTTGAACTCGCTGACACAAGTCAGCTCTAACTAGTTGGACATTTAAATTTCCGACCTCCAACTAAGACAGTGGCAGAAATCGGCACAGTAAAGGGTTTAACGGGATAATGCATTCCTCGATTTAATGAGCTGTGTGGAGGCAATTGTCTGCTTTGCACATGTTGGCTTACTGGTGTATTTCACACTTTTAAAGAGTGTCGGTGCAGATTTTAGCGGAATTGTGTGTCCGTGTTTTGCGTGACGGCGCACCAGTCCGCGGGGAAGTCGCTGCTTTATTTTCACGAACGCGATACCCCTGAGAGTCTCCAGCACCAACACTCACAGACACAAACATCAGCCATGGGAACCTGCAAGCTCGAATCACCTGTGCGCTGATGTCGTGGTTAAGACGTGCAACGAAGGATTCAATTTAGCAGACAGAACACCTGCTTTCACATATGTTTGAGGAGTCCCAGCGAAGGGACCTGGCAAGAGAGGAGAGAAAACCGAGACTCGTGTACAAATGAAAGGAGCGCAGATGAAGATGAGCAAACCAGAGGTCACATCAGTTCTGTTTGATAGATACGTGACAGGGCCGTCTCTGATGTTGAAATGCTGTGGGATGTATAAGCTAGATGCTTTTAGTTCTCCCAAGATTGGCTCAAAAGGAGTGTGTTTTATGATCTGCTGGGAATTGCAGCCTCTTAAAGATATTGTTTGCCAGGTTTTAAAGTGAAACGGCATCCGCAATACATTTGACTTCTTTCAGAGTGACGATACAGTGGCTTAAAGAGTATGAATCACACAGCTAGAATCTACAAACAAATAATCTGTCAGGAAACGATTGGCTTTCAGAGGCACTTATTTTATTTTCTCTGTATGAACATTGACTCAATGACACCAGTTATGTGTATTAAGAAACTAAATGAAGAGTTCAGATGCAAAAGCCTCTAAATGCCATTTGAAATTTTCTTCTAAAATGACCATTTTTATCAAGCTTGTATGTTTAAGTTCAGTAATTTCACTTAAGTGTCAATTAATAGGTAATCTTCATTGCAATTTAAGTGAAATTACTGAACTGAAAATTACTGAAAATTTCAAATGGCACTTAGAGGCTTTTGCATCTGAATTCTTCAAATACTGTTTTAAAAATGATCCAAATACTGAAATTCTGTCGTAATTTATTGAAAAATAATGAACTGTTTTTGTTTTTGCATGTCAATGGGTTCCAAAGAAAGAAAGAAAGAAAGAAAGAAAGAAAGTCATAATGGTTTGTACCGACCTGAGCGTGTGTAAATGATGCTATAAATAATTGTTTTGGGGGTGAACTGTTCCTTTAAAATGCTTAAAGATATCTTTTGTCGTATCCACGGACAAATGACATCAGCAAAGTTACGCAAGTGCAACAAGTCTTGCGGCGACGTGACCGTATGATTGCAGTATCTCAACAGTCCGTATCGTGTTTCTCAGAGAGCGCTGAAGGCGGAGAGAGAGAAAGAGAAATCTTTAAGAAGTGTTTTACACCACCTGCGTTTCCGGCAGGGCTGTTGGGGTCCTGAGAGGGCTGCCCCACCAGCTGCCCTCCTTCACGCCTGTTTGTCAGGAGCTTTCAATAAGTCTCACATGCATCCAGCTTGAAGGGAAGAGTGAAAAAAAGAGTGAAACGAGATGCTTCCTGCCCTTTTACTGGCGAGTGGCTTCGTTAAGGGAACCTGTGAAATCAGTTTAATAGGCTGACATCACCCCACGTCCCCCCGAGACCTTCTCTTCTCTTCTCTTCTCTTCTCTTCTCTTCTCTTCTCTTCTCTTCTCTTCTCTTCTCTTCTCTTCTCTTCTCTTCATGTTATTGAATGCATGACTTTCATCACTCAAAAAAAATAAATAAATAAATCTTTAAAAATCATAGAAAGGTTTTCCACATGATTAACTTGCTTTATTTCAGCATTATACAATTCTGTTATTCCAATACATTGGGTCAACTTAATGCATTAAGGTTGATTCAACTTATTTACTATGGTTGGGCTCAGCTTAAAGCTACACTGTGTAACTCTTTTAGTTTATTGTTAGCTAAAAACACTTAGTTCTTTCAAAAATATATGTGCTCATTAGTGTATATTTACTTCGTTCAAGTAATAAAGTATTCTCGTGAGTGTATAATATGCCATTGAAAACACATACGGGTAAGGGGTTCTAATGTCGCCCCTCCATTTTGAAAGTACATTAGCCAAAGAGGGACATACCCGTTAATTCAAGCTTCGCCTTTTGCTTTTACGTTTGAGTTAACACTCATGGACGAGGTCGAACTGGAAGCCTTGTTAATCTTGGACTACATTGGCCACCGTAGGAGTTAAAGCGAAATCGGAATTGAGAGGAACAGAAACTAATATTCCCTGAATAGTCATATACCTTTTCACCACTAGATGGGGGTAAAAATCACACAGTGTAGCTTTAATTTAATATTGTCAGGGAATTTAATAAGGCTCCCTGGTGTGATTCAGGTATTAAAATTCATAATATTCATTCATCCAATACAATAAGATTCATTTTAGTGTTACACCAACATATTTCTAGACTATAACCATGTATTAGCTACCAATAGCACTTGATGAATATTATTGAATCATTTTTCAGACTAACCAAATTTATATGGTACTAATAATGGCAATGTAATTGAACATTAAACATAATTAAAACCCATTTTCTCAAAAACACATAAAATAACACTTAATTTAGACATTTATTCTCTCTTAATTCAGCCATATGCAAAGCATGCTGGGTACTAACAAGCACAGCCCAGTTTTATTTAACGCAACACAACACAAGTCCACAAATGTAATCCAACCCAAACAGATTAAGTAAACTTAAATTTTACATATTGAACACAATCAAATTAAGTTTGGACAAAATGTATAGCAAATTGTGTGTTAAGGAATTTCGACATTAAGCAGCAAAAATCACATTGCTTGTTTCCAAACTTATTATTGCATGCTATATTTGTCTACTGTGTATGTGCAATTACTCTACACTGAACTGAAAAATGTTGAAAATAAAACAAAGATTAAACAAAATGTACTAAAACATTATTCAAATGTAATTTTGTATTTGTTAATATGTATTAATAGACCTGAGCTAACAACTACTAACAATGTTAAAAGTTGATTTAAGTGTCAAAAAACATTCTAGAGAAGTAGGACAACATGTAAAAAGAAAATTATTCGCTCAAATGTTGATGTCATTTCCACTGAAACAGGAAGACATGAAGACAGGGCGGGATTTATTGAACAGCTCCTCCCCTTTTTTTAATTAGCCAATAGCGTTTCCTCCTAATCTCTAACCGTTTCTCCTCCTGATCTCCTCCATATCGCTTTAAAATACAGCATTCTGTGCAGAATTGAATGAGTCCTTATGTTGTTCCCTAGAATGTATTTGGACACTTAATGTTATAAAAGCATTTATACATGAGCTTGTGTTCTCTTCACTAACACCACTCTTTTCTTCATTGGTGAAGTCTCAGTGAATCAATTGGTGTTTCGGTGATTTGGAAGTGTGACTCAGGAGTCCAAGCCGAGGAACAGGTGATGTCCATCACACTGACTGTAAACTCAATACACTGACCGGCTTCATTTTCAACTCACATGATGATTTGGTGCTCAATGTTATTTATGCAATGTTGCTGCTTAGTATTTTTGTGGAAAGCATGATACATTTCAGGATTCTTTGATGAATAGAAAGTTCAAAAGAACAACATTTATTTTGTAACAAAAAAAAAAAAAGAGTTTTTACTGTCACTTTTGATCAATTTAATGCGTCCTTGCTAAATAAAAGTATTTATTAATTTATTTTTAAATCTGACTTGCCCAAAACGTATGAATGATATCACGATTTCCGCAACTGTTTTCAACATTGATAATAATCACGAATGTTTCTTGAGCAGCAAATCATTATATTAGAGTGATTTCTGAAGGATCATGTGACACTGAAGACTGAGTGCTGGAAATTCAGCTTTGATCACAGGATATAAATTATATTTTACAATATATAAAAATTAGGGCTGTCAGATGATCATCCAAAATAAAAGTTTGTGTTTACCTAATATATGTGGGTGCACTGTGTATAATTATTTTCTATATATAAATACACACACACACGCTTGTATATATTTAAGAAATATTTTCATGTAATATAATTTCTATGACATGTAAATATAAATATTTTATATATAAATAATATTTTTTTCTTAAATATACATGCATGTGTGTGTATTTATATATATAAAATAATTATACACAGTGCACCCACATATATTATGTAAACACAAACTTTTATTTTGGATGCGTTTAATCGCGTTTAATCGTTTGACAGCCCTAATTAAAATGTTTTTACTGTGCTTTTTATTAATTAAATTTAACCTTGGTGACCAGAAGAACACACACACACAAATGCTTAAGTATTCCAAATTTTATATATAAAGTAATGCTGTATATTTTTCGTGAAGTGTTTACTCTCTTAAACTCACCAGAGGATGAATTGCAGACCCTCCTACCATCTGACATTACTGAATAAAAGATCTTCTTCTTTTCAGACTTCTGAAAGGATAATCACTCGTTTTCTTTATTCTGCCTTTTCTCTTTCCTGAAGCCGAAAGAACAGGAGCAGAGGGAACGTGCACACCGGCTGGGTGAACCTGGGGTCAAAGGTCGGCCGTTTAATGGGGAGGTTCAAACGTTGCTCAAAGCGGATAGGAGTGCGAAGGTGTCATTAATGCCGAGCAGGAATGTTCCAATAAAAACAGCACTTCCTCATGCAAAGCTGCCCATAAAAGAGCACAATAAATATCTCATTAGACTGATAGCTGCTGGAACGGTGTATATATAGGACATCTCGAAAGCGCACGACAACATCCGCTAACAAGATGCAGCGCACTCACCCTTTATGGATGAACCGAAAATATGTCATATTTCCAGAGAAGCATCTGCATTGCAAATGAAGCTTATTGTTCTTTATGGGCCATCTCTCGTTGACTTATGCGGTGACATTGCCGGTGGGTGAGGTATGAAAGACACACACCGATTCTTGTGGTGAAGTATGTCTGCAGATCTGGAAATCCAACCGCAATTACAACTCAAACCTTTCTGTTCATGAATGCGCTTGCGGTGGTTGATTGTGTTTGACTTAACAGCCAATCTCATATTTTGATTTTACACTCACCAACGATGCATTTTTTTGGATCAAAAAACAGCAATATTGTGAAATATTATTACAATTTCAAATAGCAATTTTCTATTTGAATATACTATCAAATGTACATTTTCGGCATTATTACTCCAGTCTTCAGTGTCACATGATCCTTCTAATATATGCTGATTTGCTGCTCAAGAAACATTTCTGATTATTAGTGGTGACTATGTGCACCAACAATGTGATTATTTCCAATAATCAGTGTTAGGACTTAAAGGAGTAGTTCACTTAAAAAAAACAAACAAACAAAAAAAAAAACGTTTGCTGATAATTTACTCACCCCCATGTCATCCAAGATGTCCATGTCTTTCTTTCTTTAGTCGAAAAGAAATTAAGGATTCCAGGATTTTCTCCATATAATGGACTTCAATGGGGTCCAAACAGTTCAAGGTCCAAATGAGAGTTTCAGTGCAGCTTCAAAGGGCTTTAAATGATTTCAGACGATGAATAAGGGTCTTATCTAGCGAAACGATCGCTCATTTTAAAAAAAAATTAAAAAGTTTAAGTTTTATAAGCTCAAATGCTCGCCTTGCTTTGTTCTTTGATGCGTGAATGAACCTGATTTCGTTGAATGAACCAAATGACTCGAAAAAAAGATTCATTCATTTTGATGAACGAGTTCGAACAGGAGAGTCACGAACACTCATCACAGAACAGAGCAAGTTATAAAACTTGACGGTTCGTTTCGTTAGCTAGGACACTTATTCATCGTCTGGTGTCGTTTAAAGCCCTTTGAAGCTGCACTGAAACTCTCATTTGGACCTTGAACCGTTTGGGCCCCATTGAAGTCCATTATATGGAGAAAATCCTGGAATGTCTCCATCAAAAACCTTAATTTCTTTTCGACTGAAGAAAGAAAGACATGGACATCTTGGATGACATGGGGGTGAGTAAATTATCAGCAAAAGTTTTTTTAAAAGTGAACTACTCCTTTAAGATAGTTACATGACACGACCAAACCTCTTCACTCCGGTTTACAGTACGAGCAATTTTCATTATTCTGATTATTCGCTAAGAACTGTGGTTAATTTTATTACAATTCAAATACCCCCATGAATAGCACAAATGAACTCACATACAGTACTGTAGTGTGTGTTACAGCCAGAGTGCATTACTGTAAATGTAATGTGATATAAAGTCACAAAATTATCTATAAAATCCCTAAATTTCACTTGGATCAAAGCAAGGATGTGTTTTATTTGACTTTCTGATGTATTTGAAGGTGATTGCCTTGACATTAAGTATGCATTTTTCTATTGTTTCATGCAGTTTACGAGCATCCGATGCCCTCTGACCGATCGGGATGTGCAACTGGAAATGAAATTGTGTTACTGAGGCTGTGAGCGTTTCTGAGGAACAACTAGTCACTGGATTCGCCAGTTTACCAGGTTAGTGGTATCAAATATTTGTATTTTACAAAAATCTTTAATATTTGAAGATCAAAAATGCATTTGAAAGTGCTTAGTCAAGTCACATTTATTTATACGTTACTTTTACAGTGTATTCTTCAATTCTTCAATTATGAAAGACACGCTATTTCAGCTCTAAAAAGACAATAGTGTCATCATTCAGCTCAAGTCAGTGTTGATTCAGTCTCAAAATTGATCAATTATGAAATGAATGACATGCTTACAGTTGCAAGTAAACCAGAAACCCATTTTTGCCTGAGAAACAATACGAAATCCTGAACGCATTTGCAATTTCTTTGCATGGAAAACATATTTCGGATGAACCTGCCTAACCTGATTGGTTGCTGCTTTTTACACGTTCAACTTTCTTTAGTGTGTAATGTCCGTTTGAGCATGAAAAAAAAGCTCAAAGTTATTCTCTATATCAGTGTCAGTGTTTCTGAACTCGCCTCCATTGTAGTCTCGAGTTTTCTTCCGTCGCAATATTTAAATAATTCATATGCAGATTAAAGGGGCGGGGCCTGGTTGAGTTAGTAGTGTGTTAAACTGGCGGTTATGGTTAGGGGCGGGACATTTCCCAAGCACACTCGATGAGCTAGACCAATCACAACACGTCGCTCCAGTCGACCAATCAGAGCACAGTGTGCTTTACAGAAGGAGGGAGCAACTAAACAGAGCGTTACTGACAGACTGGAAAGAGAGGAGCCGCAACAATGGGGAAAATAATGTGTTTTTTTGAAGCATAAAAACCTGTTCTAGAGCCCAAAAGACTGAAAAGGGTCCCGTTTAACTCATTGTTTTTTTGTGATGTTATCGAATCATTAGACATGGAAACACACACATTAGCACATTGTTGAAAGGTGTAGCATCTGGCTTCTACAAACCCCTAGAAAACTCCCTCCCTTCCTTTCTGTTTCTCCTTTCCTCCTTCTCCTGGTTTATCTAAACAAGCTGGACTAATCCCAACTATCAGGGGATGCTCTGTCAAAACGTGCGGCAGGGGCCCTAAGGCGAACCGAGCCGGTGAGCAGCGCGCGCGGCTCAACCAGCTCACCAGTGACAGAGCAGAGGGGCCAGATTAGCATAATGCCTATCAGAGAGTGTGTGTGTGTGTGTGTGTGATGGCTAGAGAGAAGGAGAATATTTTGTGTGTGAGAGACAGAGCAAAAGCATATATGTTATATGAAAAAGGAACATGCCTGCATGTCTCATGTTCAGGTCAACACGGTTCTTCTAAGTTTTCAGTCTGCGATGCTCCATCCAGCCGTCTGTGTCCTCTGGGTCTGACCGCACATACGGAACCAGAGAGTGTGTGAATATTCATGCCCTGGGCCCTCAGCACCACCCAAACCCCCCTAAAATCCTCGGCGCTCTACCCCAGCGACGTGCTCCAGGTGAAGGCCAACTCACGAAGAAGAGAAGAAAGAATTAGTGAGAGGTTTGATGAATGACTCTTCCTTTTTTTCCTTGGCTCTCATTTCCAGGAATTAGAACATCTCGGGGTTTTTTCTTTTTTTTTTCTGATTTTTTTTTTCTGACTAAAAATGTTTGATTAGGATGGAAGAGTTGCAACTGATATCTGTTTAAAATTCGATTTTTTTTAATTTAAATTGGATTAATTCTAAAAAAAACAAAAACATGCTGGAGTAGCCATGTATGTGTGGGAAATAGTGTTATTATACTGTAGTATTTATTCATATTTTTAAATATCTACTTTTCATTTTAGTTTACTCATTTTGTTGTGGTTTGATCATTTTTTAAAATATTTAAAAAATTGTATTATTTAGCTTTAATTTTGTTTTATTGGAATTTTAACAACGACAACGCTGGTGTGACCAGGGTACAATAATATTAACCTGAATAATTTAGATTTTTATATTTAGAGAGTTTAAACTGATATTTAGTGTTTTTTGTAGAAAACGAGTGGTTGCTCGTTCCAAACGGATCTACACAAGGCTTGATATTTGTCTGTGTTGATGGTTTCTAGGGTGTTCTTGGTGGTTGCCAGGCCGTTACTAAGGTGTTGTGGGTGGTTGCTAGGGCATTGCTAGGTGTGTTGGTAGAGGTCATTGCTTGGCATTTTCTAGGGTGTTGTGGTTGGTTGTTAGGGGCGTTGCTAGGCTGTTTCCTAGGTTGTTGTGGATGATTGCTAGGGTGTTGCTAGGCAGTTTCCTAGGGTGTTCTTGGTGGTTGCCAGGCTGTTACTAAGGTGTTGTGGGTGATTGCTAGGGCATTTCTAGGTGTGTTGGTAGAGGTCATTGCTTGGCATTTTCTAGGGTGTTGTGGTTGGTTGTTAGGGCGTTGCTAGGCTGTTTCCTTGGTTGTTGTGGATGATTGCTAGGGTGTTGCTAGGCAGTTTCCTAGGGTGTTCTTGGTGGTTGCCAGGCTGTTACTAAGGTGTTGTGGGTGATTGCTAGGGCATTGCTAGGTGTGTTGGTAGAGGTCATTGCTTGGCATTTTCTAGGGTGTTGTGAGTGGTTGTTAGGGCGTTGCTAGGCTGTTTCCTAGGTTGTTGTGTATGATTTCTAGGGTGTTGCTAGGCAGTTTCCTAGGGTGTTCTTGGTGGTTGCCAGGCTGTTACTAAGGTGTTGTGAGTGATTGCTAGGGCATTGCTAGGTGTGTTGGTAGAGGTCATTGCTTGGCATTTTCTAGCGTGTTGTGGTTGGTTGTTAGGGCGTTGCTAGGCTGTTTCCTAGGTTGTTGTGGGTGATTGCTAGGGCATTGCTAGGTGTGTTGGTAGAGGTCATTGCTTGGCATTTTCTAGGGTGTTGTGGTTGCTTGTTAGGGCGTTGCTAGGCTGTTTCCTAGGTTGTTGTGGATGATTGCTAGGGTGTTGCTTGGCTGTTTCCTAGGGTGTTCTTGGTGGTTGCCAGGCTGTTACTAAGGTGTTGTGGGTGGTTGCTAGGGCATTGCTAGGTGTGTTGGTAGAGATCATTGCTTGGCATTTTCTATAGTGTTGTGGTTGTTAGGGCGTTGCTAGGCTGTTTCCTAGGTTGTTGTGGATGATTGCTAGGGTGTTGCTTGGCTGTTTCCTAGGGTGTTCTTGGTGGTTGCCAGGCTGTTACTAAGGTGTTGTGGGTGGTTGCTAGGGCATTGCTAGGTGTGTTGGTAGAGGTCATTGCTTGGCATTTTCTAGGGTGTTGTGGTTGGTTGTTAGGGCGTTGCTAGGCTGTTTCCTAGGTTGTTGTGGATGATTGCTAGGGTGTTGCTTGGCTGTTTCCTAGGGTGTTCTTGGTGGTTGCCAAGCTGTTACTAAGGTGTTGTGGGTGGTTGCTAGGGCATTGCTAGGTGTGTTGGTAGAGGTCATTGCTTGGCATTTTCTAGGGTGTTGTGAGTGGTTGTTAGGGCGTTGCTAGGCTGTTTCCTAGGTTGTTGTGTATGATTTCTAGGGTGTTGCTAGGCAGTTTCCTAGGGTGTTCTTGGTGGTTGCCAGGCTGTTACTAAGGTGTTGTGAGTGATTGCTAGGGCATTGCTAGGTGTGTTGGTAGAGGTCATTGCTTGGCATTTTCTAGGGTGTTGTGGTTGGTTGTTAGGGGCGGGCGTTGCTAGGCTGTTTCCTAGGTTGTTGTGGATGATTGCTAGGGTGTTGCTAGGCAGTTTCCTAGGGTGTTCTTGGTGGTTGCCAGGCTGTTACTAAGGTGTTGTGGGTGATTGCTAGGGCATTGCTAGGTGTGTTGGTAGAGGTCATTGCTTGGCATTTTCTAGGGTGTTGTGAGTGGTTGTTAGGGCGTTGCTAGGCTGTTTCCTAGGTTGTTGTGTATGATTTCTAGGGTGTTGCTAGGCAGTTTCCTAGGGTGTTCTTGGTGGTTGCCAGGCTGTTACTAAGGTGTTGTGAGTGATTGCTAGGGCATTGCTAGGTGTGTTGGTAGAGGTCATTGCTTGGCATTTTCTAGCGTGTTGTGGTTGGTTGTTAGGGCGTTGCTAGGCTGTTTCCTAGGTTGTTGTGGGTGATTGCTAGGGCATTGCTAGGTGTGTTGGTAGAGGTCATTGCTTGGCATTTTCTAGGGTGTTGTGGTTGCTTGTTAGGGCGTTGCTAGGCTGTTTCCTAGGTTGTTGTGGATGATTGCTAGGGTGTTGCTTGGCTGTTTCCTAGGGTGTTCTTGTGGTTGCCAGGCTGTTACTAAGGTGTTGTGGGTGGTTGCTAGGGCATTGCTAGGTGTGTTGGTAGAGATCATTGCTTGGCATTTTCTATAGTGTTGTGGTTGTTAGGGCGTTGCTAGGCTGTTTCCTAGGTTGTTGTGGATGATTGCTAGGGTGTTGCTTGGCTGTTTCCTAGGGTGTTCTTGGTGGTTGCCAGGCTGTTACTAAGGTGTTGTGGGTGGTTGCTAGGGCATTGCTAGGTGTGTTGGTAGAGGTCATTGCTTGGCATTTTCTAGGGTGTTGTGGTTGGTTGTTAGGGCGTTGCTAGGCTGTTTCCTAGGTTGTTGTGGATGATTGCTAGGGTGTTGCTTGGCTGTTTCCTAGGGTGTTCTTGGTGGTTGCCAAGCTGTTACTAAGGTGTTGTGGGTGGTTGCTAGGGCATTGCTAGGTGTGTTGGTAGAGGTCATTGCTTGGCATTTTCTAGGGTGTTGTAGTTGGTTGTTAGGGCGTTGCTAGGCTGTTTCCTAGGTTGTTGTGGATGATTGCTAGGATGTTGCTAGGCTCTTTCCTAGGTTGTTGTTGTTGGTTGCTATGGTGTTGCTAGGCTGTTTTTAGGGTGTTGTTGGGGTTCTTGTCCAGAAGGTAAAAATGCTCATCTAAACACTTATTAAAGTAGCAGCACACTCTCCTCAACACACATGACTTTTTGAATGAACAAAACCTTGCAGTGCAGCTCTCATCTTATAAATGTGTTACTTCTGATATGAAACAAATTCAGCTTTCAAATTCGGTCAATTTTATTACGAAATTAAAACATACCGTTTTGGGACTCTTGAATGTGGCGCCTTCGGTTCGTGCGATGCGCACGTCAATGGTCATCTCTTCCAGTTTATTGCATG